CTCACTATGTATTAACAGACCTCTCTGCATTGAATCATATCTGTTATTAACCTCTGTCTCTCTTCCACAGCATGTCTGTATCCTGTCTTCCTTCTCTTGCTCATAGGGGGTCATATGATTGTTGGGTTTTTCTCTGTATCTATGAAGCGCCTTGAGGTGACTTTTGTTGTGATTTGGCGCTATATAAATAAAATTGAATTGAATCCACAGAGCCCAAGCGGTGTGTATCAGGCTGTAATATAATGGGTAGACCAGTAAAGGACACAGTTTTACTGGTTTCTGCTGTAGTGAAACGACCTCACAGCACCACGAGCTGCTTCCCAGCCTCAGCTCACAGCTGCCGGCCGTCAGCTGTTTAAAATGAGAAACTGAAGGACCGAAGACTGATGAGAGCAGCATAGACGGATGTAACACACACCTGAGGCACACCTGAAAGGTTACTGTGAGTATCCTGATTACATCAGCTGTGCTCTGCTGCTTCCTCACCGAAACACCTGTAATCAACACATAGCTGTGAGTGTGTGTGTGCCAGCGGTGCTCGGTTACAGGTCTCTACCTGCGGCAGCGCACCGCGCTCCATCTCCTCTCGACTCCAGCGCAGATATCCTACATCGCTGCGGGACAGGACGCCCTGCAGGGGGCGCTGCAGAGGCAGGCCGTCCTGCCCGAAGTGCCGCATCCCGTTGAAGAGGTGCGGGCTGGCTCTGCCGGTCAGTAGCAGGTTCAGCAGAGCCTGCATACACAAGCAGAGACCTGGAGGCTCCTCCCACTTTGCACTCTACAGGTGCGCACGCTCGCAGACGCTCTCAGGCTAACAGAGACGCTCTGATCGTTGAGCGGTCAGCACAAGAGCTGAGGCTGACGGAGGCAACATCAGCAGGAAACACAAACGAGCATCCATGTCTGATGACATCACTGTCAGCTGTTTAGCCCCCCCAGCAGATTTTTACTTCCCATGGTGCTCTCTGATTGAGACATTTTTAGCTGAACACAGAGCGACGAGGAAGCTGCTGAGTGAATGACATGAGTGGGCGGAGCACGCATGTAAAACGACACACCTGTGACAGGTGCGGGCCTGGTATCTGATAGTGCAGAGGTACAAACGCCTTACACAAAGATTTCTAAATGAAGTCTGGCAACATGAGTCAGGTGAGCTCTTACCTGCCGACAGGCAGAGCTGCCCGGACTGAGGTGCAGCAGGTATGACGTAGGAGAGTCTAGGTCCTGCCTCAGCCTGTGAGGAAGAGGACGCACATGGTCAACGGCTCAGTTAACCAGCGGGCTGTAACAGACTGTGTCCTGTCGGGGGCGCTAACATCGCAGAGCTTCGCTGTGTGGTTACCTCTCGATGGTACGGGAGCAGATGAGGCTGTAGAGGAAAAGGATGACGCCATGACTGCCCTCCTCCTGAAACTACAAGACAACAGGTCACGTCGCACGGCGGACTCCAAACCACCCGAAACCTTTCCGACAGCGGGCCGACGGAGCTCCACGTCCGATCGCAGGCCGTATTTTTGTGTAGTCGTGTCACGTGCGTAAAGATCAGTGCTCGTTTTTCTCACCTGAATCCGCATTAATGCAACAAGCTGAAGAGTTAGCACTAAGGTAAAGTGACCTGATTCTGGCGTCCTGATTGGATGCTGTACTCACGCACTGGATGTGGTCGAGGATGAAGTTGGTGATGGCGTCCTTCTCGCTGAACGTGAAGAGCTGCAGCTGAAAGACATGAAAGAACAGACGTGACGAGATGCTGGGGACGGAGCAGCGGTCGCAGCGCTGTGAGGAAGGGCGGTACCCTCTCTGTGAAGGTGTCCAGTTTGTTGTCCAGGTGAGATGTGATGCAATAGTCTTCGGTTACCAAGGTGACAGTCGCGCTCGCCTCCTGGCCGGCCAACCAGAGGCTGTCGCTCAGGGCGGCCGCCAATGCTCTGTCCTGCTCCCGCCGTCCTACCTCTGTCAGACTGGAGGGTGGACAAAATAATAGAAACACATTAGAGTTGTGGGGAGCCGAGGACACCAAAGGTCAAAGGTGACGCAGGATGCTGGGTGCTAAACTGACGCGACTTCAGAGAACCGCTGGGCACCAGTTACCGTCCCACTGTTCCCATTTTCTGTCATGTTCATTTTTCATCATGTGACATCTCACCTTTACCATTTCCACGCCAGAGAGGCCTCACCTGTGCAGCGTCTGTCCGTCTGAGGTGCTCTGTCGGGTGAACAGCAGGTGCTTAATGATGCGAGCCTGGACGACCATCTGAATGGCCCGAGCCCCACCCTGAAACACACACCTGACCTTAAAAGATGTAATATTCTGGGCGGGGCTTGATGCTGATGGGTTAAAACTGCCAGCCTATCAGGAGTGAGATGACGCTCTTAGTCGTGTCCGGGAAATTCTGGGCTTTTAATGTTTGCTTTGAACTCTTTTTGTTTACACTTTAAAAACCAAGTTAACATTTATTCTGTATTTTCTCTCATCTACAGGGTCAAATGTAAACACCCACTCAGTCTGCTATTAAGAGGTGCTGAAGCTTCTGCAGCACAGAGGTTGGTTAGAGGACGTTTGTTCAAAAGCAACACGGTGAGCGTATTCTGTAGTCTACCTGCCCTTTCACACGGGACGCGGCACGCACCGCGCTCTGAAGCCCGTTCATTTCTATTGCTCGTGCTGCACAACAACGTTTTAACGCTGCGCTGAGCCAGGAGTGCTCACACAATCAGCGGGTGAATTTTGACCGCCGCGCGCTGTGACGTACCTTCACGCAGCCAATAAAAACGAAGCCTACAGCTGCGCTACGTTCAACCACGCGAAGGAAAACGTTGTGTGGAGCTTGGTGAACTTTTAGGCCCAAGTGTCCGTGCGTTCCTTTCAGTGGCTCTGGGCACCTTGGGAGGAAAGCAGTGTTGTGGAAACGACACACGTAGTTACCTTCTTCTTTATGAACGAGTGATACATTTTTTAAATAAATTTGAGAGGGTCTTAACAATTGAATCAGCTGTGTGACAGTGAAAGTAAGAACGTTCAACATTATTTATCAGGTACATCACTGAACTGGAGGATAAATAACACTCCTGTATTATATAGAATATTATAATGTAAAATTTATCAAAAAATTAAGAAAGGTTAAAAAGCTAAAGGTTTAGTTTGAGTTTCTGCTTTTCTTTTCCTGATATTCATATAACATTTGTAAGGAAATATTAACTTTAATTCCTCCGTTCCCTTTCTCTCTCTTTCCTGATTTACTTCTTCAGACTTCATCTGGATGCAGGTCTGGAGTTGGTGTGTGAGAGAGTTCAGCATCCTGACAGCCTGATGGATGAAGCTGTCTCTCCATCTCAAACAGCTCTAACTACATGCTTTAGCAAAGAGGAAACTTTGAAGCCTGATCTTAAAAGCAGAGTTGGTTTCTCACCCCATCAGCCTTCAGAGCGTATGCAAACTCTGAGTTTGGTTCCCTGAAGTGGAAGACTGCTTTCCTCCACTCGTAGTCGAAGACACGAAAGTTTCCACCCAGAAGAATCCTCCTCAGGCTCTGACATCAACACAGAGACAGGTCATCGGTCAGTCGTTTGTCCTGAATGCAGCCTGACGGGGAACAACAGGTCAAAGCAGCTCTGAACACTCCCTGCTCTGTTCAGACCTTCTGTTTGCTACAGGCAGCCAATGATAATAAAACTAGTGTAAAGGAGGAGGAACTAAAACTGTTTGTTTCAAGCAGAAGTCTGACTGCATAAAGATAACATCATACAGCTGGAGTTTCAGCACCTGCACACCTCCATCCTGGTATCCTCATAAACCCCGCCTCCCTTCAGCCAAGTGGAGGAGTCGCGTAACACGGCTGATCTGTGGTCAGGTGAGCTCATCGTGTTTACAGGAAAACAGGTCACCTGACACCCAGCGGTGTCAGGTGACCTGTTTCTGAATCCTTGTGTTTACCTCAATCAGTTGGGGGGTGACCGGCGTTCCCCCGAGCCCCGCAGAGATGGCCAGCCTCCGGGGGATAGAGCAGAGGGCTTGAAGGGTCCTCCGGGGTGGAGGGGCTTCCTCCTGCTCCTCCTCTTTCTCCACATCCAGCAGCCTCTGAGGAGAAGGCGAGACAAACAGCTGCCTTCGACCGTTCAGTCACAACGAAAAAAACACTTCCCACAGCTTCAACGCTGAACAACGGAAACATCAGATTTACAGCAAACCTGCACTCACGTGACTCAGGAAGGCATTTACCTTTGTCTCCCCTCAGTGCACACACCAAAATAAATCAATATGAGCTCCTGGGCCCTATTTCAGGAAGCCGGTTTAGAAAACTCAGAGTTTTCGTTAACTCAGGGTATACTTACTCAGAGTTTGCACTAAACCGGCTTCCTGAAATAGGGCCCTGGACAGCTGATGAACAGAGCGGAGCGTGAGGGTGACACTGATCAACGTGGTGGTAGTAAGTGCAGTAGTATTTTCTTAGAGGTGACTCACGTGAGGATTACTGCTCACTTCCTGCCAGAGCAGCTCGATGTAGTCCAGCCTGCGGTCTGACATCACTGACTACAGCTGAGGGACGGCCCTTACTAACACTACAGCGGAGCCACGGCGAGGATGACGAGCTGCTCCTTCATCCTGTCTGAAGCTGCAGCCTGACTGAGTGTTACACAGTCAGCTGAAAACTGACCTGAGTGCAGTGCAGCGGCACCACCAACAGAGGGCAGAGCTGATCTATCTATCGCTCTATCAGGCGTGATGGATGCTGAGAGAGGGTCTCTGAGTTACTGTCAACATTTCAAATTAATTTCTAGTTACAGAAACAGAAATATGCTTTCTTTTGGAAACAGTGGCAGTCTGAGTCGAACCCAGACTTTTGAACCATCAGCTGAAGAGCTGTTAGCTGAAAACTCTGCACACCTCAGCATGCTGTGCATGGATATGCATGCTCACCGTGACAGCCATCTTATTTTCCTGTCATGTTTTTGGATATGCGCAGACTCATGTATGGAAGGTGTCTTAAGTCCTGCCATTAATTAATGCTTCGATCTTAAATATGATCAACCTATCTCTAATGATCGGCTATGTACCACAGGCCTTCAAGCTGGCTGTAGTT